TTTTCACTGTAGTTAAGAGGGGCTTTTCATTCTCTTTGGCAAAGGTTTGTAAGAATGTATTAAATGTTTGTGTGCTACCCCAGAGGCTCAGTTTTCTGGGGATGTGATTTTGGTGCTGCAGAAGTGAAAGGCTGAGATGATACGGTGTTTTTATGGTATTAATTAGATACCAACTTAAAACAAGATCTTGAAAAAAGTCTTTGTGACAGATATACGCTCTCCATCATTTATCACTGGTCCTGGCACCGGGGAGGTCCCAGATGACTGGAGGTTGGCCAGAGTGATGCCCATCCACAAGAAGGGGCAGAAGGAGGATCCAAGGAACTATAGGTCTGTCAGCCTGACCTCAGTGCTTGGCAGGGTTATGGAGCAGATCATCCTGAGTGCCATCAAGCAGTATGTACAAGACAACAAAGGGATCAGGCCCAGCCAACATGAGTTTAGGAAAGGAAGGTCCTGCCTGACCAATTTGATCTCCTTCTGTGACTGGGTGACCTGTCTAGTGGATGAGGGGAAGGCTGTGGCTGTGGTCTACCTAGACTTCAGCAAAGCCTTTGGCACAGTCTCCCAGAGTATCCTCCTGGAAAAGCTGGCAGCCCATGGCTTTGACAGGTGCTCCCTTTGCTGGGTTGAAATCTGGCTGGATGACCAGGCCCAGAGAGTGATGATGAATGGAGCTGCATCCAGTTGGCATCCAGTGTCCAGCAGTGTCCCCTAGGGATCAGTACTGGGCCCAGTTCTATTCAGCATCTTTATTGATGACCTGGATGTGGGGATTGAGTCCACCCTCAGTGAATTTGCAGATGGCACCAGGCTGGTGGGGAGTGTGGATCTGCCAGAGGGCAGGAAGAAGCTGCAGAGAGATCTGGACAGGCTGGGTCGATGGGCCGAGGCCAGTGGCATGAAATTCAATGAGAGCAAGTGCAGGGTCCTGCACTTTGGTCACAATAACCCCCTGCAACACTACAAACTGGGGGAGGAGGGGCTGGAGAGCAGCCCAGCAGGGAGGCACCTGGGAGTACTGGTTGACAACTGGTTGAACGTGAGCCAGCAGTGTGCCCAGGTGGCCTGGAAGACCTATGGCATCCTGGCTTGTATCACGAATGGTGTGGCCAGCAGGAGCAGGGATGTGATTCTCCCCCTGTGCTCAAGCACTGGTGAGGCCTCACCTTGAGTACTGTGTGCAGTTCTTGGCACCTCACTTCAAGAAGGATATTGAGGTTGGAGCTGATCCAGAGGAGAGCAGTGAGGCTGGTAAAGGGAATAAAGGGAAAGTCTTGTGAGAAGAGACTGAGGGACATTATTCAGCCTGGAGAAGAGGAGACTCAGGGGGGACCAATGCTCAATCTGCTTGAGGGCAGGGAGACTCTGCAGAGGGATCTAGAAAGGCTTGACCATTGGGCCAGTGTCAATGGCATGAATTTCAGTAAGGCCAAATGTCAGGTCCTGCACTTGGGCCACAACACCCCCCAGCAGTGCTACAGGCTTGGGGAGGAGTGGCTGGAGAGCTGCCCAGCAGAGAGGGACCTGGAGGTGCTTATTGACAGCTGGCAGGCATTATTAAAAATTATGCTTTTGTGGGTTGCATCTTAGGTAAAACAAGATACAGGAGAAAAAAGATTTTGAGACCTTTTGTTCCTTTGATTTTAATCTTGACCACTTTGGTTTGGGGACTGTTGACGACCAGAAGTAGGTCTAGCTTTGTAGATGACTTAATCTCCAAGCTTCTCTTTAAATCAGCAAGGCATCCACAAAACTACCCCTGCTTATTCACAGTTGGGTCATGACTTTTGTTTTTAAATTTAGGCAGAGGCAGGGTAGGGACTGCCTACCTAGGGAAAAAACATGACTTAGCCATGATATTTCTTCAGCTAAGCCAGATCCCACGAAGGCTGGGCTGGTCCAGGGACACAGGAAAGCAGCCCATTTCTCCAGAAGCAGCACTTCTATTACAACTCCTTTCCTGCTTCTTTCTTCACTTGCTGGGGCAAATCCCTGATCCTTGTCAAAATAGTATCATGTGCTACCTGCACTGAGCTGCTCTGGTCAGTGTGTAGCTGGCTTAGATTTGAGAAGAGAGAAGTCAAATGCAGAAGTTAGAGGGAAGGGGTATTTGTCTTCAGTTTAAAAATATGTAAAGAAGTTGCTTGACCATCCTCAAATGTAGCTGGTACATGCGTGAATGTTTTTTGGCCTTTTCCAAGTGTGTGCCTTCTGGATGCCCTTGTACTTACTAAACATTTAGTGTTGTTGGGTGAGGCAAATGGACTTCTGAATTATTTATCTGAATAGACATAATTACTATAGCTTTGCTGCTTTCATAGCTAAGTAGAAGGGAGATCTCAATAGACAGAAAGTTTTCCGTAGCCTAAAGAGCAACACCTCAGTCACTAAGCCTAGTTGGCAAAAAGTTTTGTTTAAGCAAGCAGAATGTATTGATAGAAGATGGCTTTGCTTCAGTTTTACATTAAAGTCTTTGTGTAAAAATGTCTGCTAAAGCTTAACCTTTTTACAGTCCATGAAGGTGGCTATAGTCAAGCTAGTGTGGAAATTATTCTGAAGTGTTAGTCCTTTGGGTTCGTTGTTGGTTTTTTTTTCTTCTAATTGGTCTGGCTAACACTGGCTGAACAAGCTTATTTGTGAATGTTTAAGATTTGTGTCATTCTCATATTCTGACTATGGCAGTTCTGTGTTCATTGTGATAAAATTCAAAAGGAAGTAACAGTCTGCTAGGAAGATAATTTGAGAAATGAATCAGAGTGACTCAAAAAGCATGTAGGTGTTAGTGTGACAGCTAGTTACAGTTCATATAAATACCTGTTTTACTAACAAGGCAAAGAAGAAAATAGGAAAATTTTCCAAGTATTTAAAAACAAACACAATTTCTGTTGAACTGTCTTGAAAAGAAGAGGAAGTGAAACCAGTGGAATATTTTGCAAAGCAATCTACACTACAATTAAGTTCTTGTTTTTTAACATAGCATTAGGGGTTGTAGGGTGTTTTGCAATTCCCTATATAGGTGTCAAAAGCCAGCAGCATTTCCAGCATAGTGAGAGTATGTTATGTTAGTATGTAATTACATTTTTGCATTTTCACTTGAAAATATTTTCAGTATTTTCTCTAACTTGTTTTTTTACTCTTTTTTATCACAAGGCATCAAATTTTGATTTTGAACTGTGTGTATTTTTTGTTCAAATGTGATGTTTTCCTTGTGTCTTCCTAACACTGAATTTAGCATGATTTCTGCATGGGATTTGTAGTATGCTAATACTGTTTGTGTATTTAAATGATACAGTTTTGTTTAAAGGTCTGTATGTGTCTTATCTTCTTTCTTAAGCAGTTAAACAAAAGCAATGCCTTTTAAAATGTTGCTATATATGTAAGTTAACATAATCATAGAATCATAAAATGGTTTGCATTGGAAGCGACCTTAAAGATCATCTAGTTCCAACCCTCCTGCCATGGGCAGGGACATCTTCCCTCAGATCAGGTTGCTCAGAGCCCCATCCAAACCTGGCCTTGCACAGTCCTATTGATGGGACAATAGATGAATGGGTGATTTCACTTATCTATGTTAGTAACAGAGTTATAAGATAATACTTCTTATTGTAAAATGACATACTTTAGAGCCAAAAGAAAAGGAAGAAAAGGCCATAAATTGATACAAATTTTCAGGTTTTGTTACTTTGACAAGTACTCAGACAAAACTGCTCTAATTGTATTTAAAGCTTACTGTATTTCATTTGCTGACACTTTGAGATAAAAAGCTTAAAGTCTCTTTCATGGACTTGATTAAAAATACTTATTTTCTCAAAATGTAAATGTGCATGCTAATGAGAAATTGGGAAGTCTGTGATTAAAACCTGTCTCTTGAATATGTGGTTTTGCCTACAGTTTTGCGTAAGAATTTGACCCAGCTGAAAATAGTCCTGCACCTGGGCACACTCCTGCTGGTGAAAGTATTCTTGTTGTCTTGGGAAATGGGAGCCACCATGAGTTCACATGCCACTTCAAGCAGTCCAAATTTCCTTCTGAGCAGATCCAACATGTAATTTGTATTTGTTTCCAGGACAAAGATCATGTGGATATTTGTCATACGGCCCTTATAGTCAGAATCCATTTTCCATTAACTGGACTTTAGTTGAAAAATATTGCATGCTTAATAATATTCATAAAACAGACTGGATATTCAGTACATGGGCATGTAACTGAAAGATAATGGGTTACAAGAGAGATTAATAAGACTTTTGAGTTGCAAAAGCACTAAGTCAGTTTAAATCTATTGGCTAAGCTGCTCAAAACTTGTAATGCATTGATCCTGAGCTGTGGTGTGTAAGCAGAGCCATTGCTGGTGTGCATTAAGACATCTCTGTGATCACCTTGTGCTTAGCTCTTTTTCAGACTCAGCAGCAGCAGTCCCCTAAGTCTTCCTTAAGGTGAAATATGCAGAAGATTGGTTAATGAAGTGTACTCAGCAACTCTCAGTAGCAGGTGTCTGGTTTTACCTGCTTTATGGTTACCAGGGCTATAAATTTGGGATGGCCATGGCTGGCTGTTTCTTCTGCCATAGAGCCATCTGTCCCAGTTTGGAGTCTTGAGCCTGGTTTGACCCTCCTTCTGGTGGATCTGACTGACTTCCACTCCTATAAGGTCCTAAAAAAGCCTTGCACAGAGCTGGTTGTGAATCTTAGCTTTACTAGTTCAATGCTGCTTCTGCACTTTTTTGTTTCGTTAGTGAAAATCACTTCTACAATCTGTTTAACTAGCTTAAAGGTCTTGTAGTCCAGAAGTGACATATTGTTTATAAATTCATTTGATGGTTATTTGCTTCAATGGTTTTGAAAATGACGTTGTTGTTTGTTTTTGTTTTCCTCATTCTTTTTGAACCCCTGTTTTATATGTGTGTGTTGTGTTATTTTTTTTCCTCTGCCTAGACCTGGTTAACCATTTCTGTGAACAGGTCCTCAATTTTTTACTTTGTCCCTACTTTCCTGTCGTAGCCCCATCTTCCCCTGGTGTCGACTCCGTACCCTTACAGCGCACAGGCAGTCAACACGGCACACAGAACGCAACAGCGACCTTCCAGAGGGCCAGCTATGCAGCCGGCCCCGCCTCCAATTACGCAGACCCCTACCGACAGCTGCAGTATTGTCCTTCTGTTGAATCACCATACAGCAAATCTGGGCCAGCCATCCCACCTGAAGGGACCTTGGCTAGGTCACCTTCCATTGATAGCATTCAGAAAGATCCCAGGTGGGTGAAACCTTCACTGTCTACTAATTCTTGCTCGTGCAGAGGTTTGTAATTGTGGTTTGCTTTTGTATGTTTATGCTGTTGAATATAAAAGCACCTGAAAAAAGAGACCCATGATTGCACATGGAAGATTATGTTACTGTAACAGCTTTGTCCTTCAGATTTACCTTGGAAGGCTCTCATGAGCTCTTCTGTGAAACGAAGTGATAGCTGTGGTCTTGAACGTGCCTGTTTAGCCTGCTTTCAGTAGTGCTCTCCCTCAGAAGCATACGAAAAGTAATTTTCTCTGAAAATGGAAGGAATGGTATAACTGTTTTGACTGTAAACATTGTGGACTGAATTTTCAATTTGCTCCTTGGGCACAGGTTGTTGCAGTTGTTGGTTTGTCTGAGATTAATATTTATAAAAGCTGTAGAAAAGGCTATTCTGGTATTGGACTGAGCAGTATGGAAATGCAAAATGTAATCAGGCTAATGTTTCACACTGTCTGTCATGGGGGAGTTCCATTGCCAGTACCTGGTAGTAGGGTGTGTGTACTACAGCTTTGAAGAAATGTTTGTTACTGTGTATGCTTTTTAAATATATAGCACAACTTCTAATATTGCAGAGAGGCATGACCATCTTCATATACCTAGGGAAGGTGCAAAGAAGAAACTTTATAGCCATACATACCCCAAGCAGAAAGATGGATTAGAGAGTGTGAGGTTTCTGGCAATGATTTGACTTTTGTGATAACAGCAATGGAAATGCTGACTGTAATCCTCAACGCACTTGGTGATTTTGTTCAGTTTTCTGGTGGGAAAAAAGCCACAACAAAACTATCTCTTGGGTAGCTTAAGTTTATTTAAACTTGTTGCAGTTGTTAATTTATACAAGGTTTTTCTATGGCAGATGATGCAATTGATTGATTATATATTTATTTTTGCTATGTGTAATTTAATGATAGGCAAAGCCCAAATATTTGCCCCAACAAAAATGTTGGAAATACTTACACATCAATTTGAAAATACTTCTTTTCCTGCATTAAAAACCAAATATTCACAACTTGACCTCTCTACTCATTTAGTATTATAGTGTTTTTTTTCTATCTCCAACTAGAAATATGACAGTGGCTAAATTTTAAGGTCCATCAGAAGCAATATTACTCGCAGCTACTTCAGTCATTGCAAATTCTTACTTGTTGAGAAAATGCCTGTCTTCAATCTTTTTTTTTTTCTTTTAGCTCTTGTTATTCATATAGAAAATTTAAAAACTACTAGCTGAATTCTTCCCCTTCTTCCCCCTGCCCCAGAGTAAACATTAATAGCCTGAGGAAAACAGCCTTTTTCTGAAAACTTGGTATTTTGATATATTTGTATTCTAGAATATAAAACCCCATGGAGGAAAAAAAAACTTTTCTTTGTAATTGTCTCACGTTCAAACTTAAAGAAAATTACATTAGGAGTGCACTGGACCAGAGGAAAAATTACTATAATCCGTATGATATGTTCTTAGGAGAAGCATGTATTCCCTGTAGACAGTAAAGACATATTTACAGTATCTATGGAACATAGACATCATATCCTTTTAAGAAAAGGTTATCACTATTCAGTTGCTCTGCTATCACTTTGCAGCCGTTAGTCAAGTAATGTGTAAGTTATGTGCTTGTAAAAGAAGATTTCATCTTGCAGATTTTTCATGTGTCTGCTTTTCGGTTCTTTCTCATCTTCTGATACCATTTGTGCATTCATGAGTGTTGATTTCTGTAGGTAAAATAGGAGTGAGCAGGCATACAGATATTAATTGAACTGACAAACTCTTCAGAGAGGATCATTAAATATTTTTGCTAATTACTATTAGATGGATTGGCACAAAATAACTTTGGTAAAAGAGGTTTGCATTACTCTTTATCTCATTCATTTGACCCATGGACTGTGTATGGTGTCTCTTAGTATTCTGCCCTTACTTGCTGGTTTGAATAATTCTTATAAACAAAAGTCAGAAGCAGACCTGATTCTGTGAATCACAAAATTGTCATGGTTGGAAAGGACCTCTGAGATCAGAGTCTAACCATCAACACAAAAAAAACCGAAAAAAAAACAAACCACCACACAGCACTAACACAACCCAAAACCAGACACCTGCACACACCCCACCAAAAAACACCCACAAAAAACACCCCGCACCTTGGCCACTAGAGCATGCCCTGAAGTGCCACATCTGCACATTTCTTGAATACCTCCAAAGATAGTGACTTAGCCACCCCCCAGGCCTGTTCCAGTGCCTGGTCACTTTCAGTATAAAAGTTGCAGGCTTTTGCTTAATGTTTGCTAAATATCAGGCAGTTCAATTTGAGAAACAGATATCCAGAAGAGAACGTACTCATCTAAAACTGAAGATTGTTTTCTGGAATCTTCCATTCAGACAGAATTTCCATCTTAAGTCCAAGAAAAATGGTTGGCAGGCAGTGATGTAGCTGACAATTTTTTCCATTGTTTTCACCATGTAGTTTGGATTACTAATACTCTAGTTTTATATACGTGCTGTGAGCTGACATTTGGCAAATGAAAGTTTAGCTCAACATCTGTTCTGCATCATCCAGCTGTCATAAAATGCAGTGTAATGTTCATTAACTTGAAGTTTAGGACAAAAGCTAGCCTAAAAGATATGAAGGTATTTATTATCAATTTCGTGGCAGGGGATAATTTTTGATTCATGCAGATAGAGAGCTGATATAAGCTCATATAACAGGTAGTAAAAACTATGCATGTCTATACTGATGAAAAGTCTGAGGCTTTGTTATTTAAAAAGGAAATCAGGCCCTTATCACCTGTCAGAAATAAAACTTAAGTTCTGCAGAAAATGGAGAAGTTCTACAGAAAATGGAGAAGTCGAGTATCAAAGATAAAAGAATGCTCTGTAGAATCAGTCTGTAAATTATGTTTACTTCATGTCAAAAAAAGGAGGAGACATAGGCAGTAGAGCTATGTTATTAACTGTTTCATGCAATAATACTTTATATTAAAAAGTGACCTAGGGAAGGTAATAATACAATATTTATTATCTAATTATTGTCTAACATTCTGTGATTCTGTCTTGCTTTTGATTGCTACTGAACTGTGAATGAGAAAAGTCATGACTATTTTAAAGTATCAGAAGTATGTGTTCATGTGATAGTTTGCAGCCTACGTTGATTTAAGAGAGATTAATCTGCCTCTTGGCACCAATAAATTATCTAAGGTTTGTCTGTTCCTAGACTTTATGGGAACTGAGGAGCCCTAGAAATTGAAATGCTGATATCCAGTTGTCAGTCTGTGTGCCTTCCAATTTTTACTCCAAAATATGAACCTGACAGATGTATGCAAATTACTTGATTTTTGAGTTTCCTACCTACTGAGAAACCATGTACAGGTACCACTGCTGATAAACCATACTTGCTGCATAAGAAATGAAAAAGACATAATTTTCACATCCTTCAGTTAAATACATACTGGTAAAGTTTTGCAGTAATGGTGGTTTTGCTTCTTTGTAGACTGTGTCTGATTTGATGGGTTGAGTCAACATGTTTCCTTCATTGTTCTTTGACTTCTCTTCTTACCTAATTTTGTTAACATGCCTGTATACAATCATCATCTTCTCTTGTGAAGAAGCTGGCAAGAAGCTGAGTTGATGGCACAAGTTGTGTAGAGTACACTCCATTAAGGCTATCAAAATGAATTCCAGAGTTCAAATGTCCACTTTTATATTGCATTGAATTATATTACTCTACACTTAACATTTTCCTTTATGGCATCCTCTTTCCCAAGAGATGTGTTTCAGAACCTCTAGAACTATTTATTCAGAAGAAATGGGGTAATTTGGTAAATGAAGATATAAAGGGTTCATTCTTCATTATAGAGCAGACTGCAATAATGATTTGGCTCTTGTTTAGGTAAAAAAAAAATGAACAAAGGTAACACAAAAACCCCCCCAAACCACTAGCAGAATAATCATGTTGCAACTTAACAAGAGAACAATATTTAAAAAATCAGGCATCTTCTTGTAGTTCTTACTTCAGGACTGTCTGAGTATAGGTCAACGTAGAAGCAGAACATTCCAGGTACTAGATGATTTAGCTCTGATACCCTGAGACTTTTCTGCTCTGTTCTCCTCTTTCAGAGTCAGGTTTCCATTCCATTACCTCTGCTGGTCTTAATTTCCTTCTAAGCAAAGGTAACTGTCCTGTCTACTTGTCTTCTAAACATTTACATTGATTTTCTTTCCACTTGTGAAAGGAAATAAATTAGAACATTTTCTGTGGACTCTTAACTTTCAAAATTCATCTTGTATTATTATTTTGTTTTTTTAAAAAATGTTCTATTTTCAAAATGTAAGCTGGAGAGCTTTATTTCCAGGGAAAAAGTGTTAGAAGTAAAATTAACTCTAGTTATGTTTGTGTGCTTCATATGAGATTAGCACACAGTGTTTGGAATGTGGCCTGCTAAAAGGTAAATGTTTCTGCAGGAGTCCTCACCATATATTTAATCTCACTTTGTTCCAAGGATTGTCTCAGTGTTAATAGTGTTAGTCTACTGTAAATCTGAATAGCAGCCAGACACTCAAACAGTGTAACAAGGTAAGAAAATAAGACTGCAAGCGTGGGAGGTTGGATGTCTTGGTGGTAGCATGTCTGGTAGATTATTGGGGAAGAGATATCACCTTCAGAAGGAAACTTTGTTGGAGTAGAGGGCCTTGCTGTGACTACAGTACAGAAGGTGGCAAGTGTGCGCAGCACTGCTGTGGTCAGTTCTGAGATGTGGGCCTCAGTTTTCAGAATCCAGAAAATTTGTGGTGGCGCTGATGGTTCTCTGGCATAACTCTCTGACCTGAGAGGTAGAAAATTGTAGTTCATATTTCTGGTCAGGGTAAGACAGAACAGGGCTTGCAGAAGTACCTCCCACCTTTTAATATAACAGTGTGTGATAAGCAGCTCTCCTTTTAATTCAATAATTTTAAAGAGTCCCTCTTACCCATAACTGAAC